GTAATATTCGCACCTCAGCCTCCCAAGTAGCTGTGACTACAAGCATGTACCACCACACCCGTCTAATTATTATTTTTTTATAGAGAAAGGGTTTTGCCATGTTGTCCAGGATGGTCTTGAACTCCTCAGTTCAAGCTATTCTCCTGCCTCCGTCTTCCAAAGTGCTGGAATTACAGGCATGAACCACCATAAACTTTTTATATTAAAACAGTTTTGGATTTTAAAAATTAAAAAGATAAGGCTGGGCACAGTGGCTCATGTCTGTAATCTCAGTACTTTGGATGGCTGAGGTGGGAAGAATGCTTGGGCCCAGGAGTTCAAGACCAGCCTGGGCTGGTGAAACCCAATCTCTACAAAATATACAAAAATTAGCTGGGTGTGGTGGTGTATACCTGTAGTCCCAGCTACCCGGGAAACTGAGGTGAGAGAATAGTTTGAGCCCAAGAGGTCAAGGCTACAAATATATTTTCTTCTACAGAGAACCCTGCCACATGGTAAAGTGAGAAAACAGCTCTTACAAAAGAGATTTTCCTTTCTTTTTTTTTTTTTGAGACAGAGTTCCACTCTTGTTACCCAGGCTGGAGTGCAATGGCGCAATCTCGGCTCACGACAACCTCTGCCTCCTGGGTTCAGGCAATTCTCCTGTTTCAGGGTAGAAAGAACTTGGTGAACTAAGTTCATGCCACTGCTCTCCACCCTGGGCAAGACCCCGTCTCATAAAATAGTAAAACAAAAACTAAAAATCACAAAGATAATACACAGAGTTCGATATACTCCATACTCAGTTTTCCCTATTATTGTCATCCTATGTCAGTATACTTGCCAAAAGTAGTGAACCAATATTGATATATTAGTACACACTTCATGCAGCTTTCTTTAGTTTTTCCTAAATTTTTTTTTTTCTGTTTCAGGATACTACATTACATTTGAGACACAGTCATGCTCTGTCACCCAGGCTGGAGTGCAGTGGCACAAACATGACTCACTGCAGCCTGATCTCCTGGGCTCAAGTGATCTTCCACCTCAGCCTCCCAAGTGGCTGTGACTAGAGGTGTCCACCACCACATCCAGCTATTTTTTTGTATTTTTAGTACAGATTGATTTTCACCATGTTGGCCAGGCTGGTCTTGAACCCCTGGCCTCAAGTTATCTGCCCACGACAGCCTCCCAAAGTGCTGGGATTACCAGTGTGAGCCACTGTGCCCAGCCAGGACACCACATTGCTTTTAATCATCATGTCTCCTAGGGCTCCTCTTGACTGTCGCAGTTTCTTAGACTTTATGCTGCCCTTATTCATTTTGAGAAGTGCTGATCACGTACTATGTTTAATGCCCCTTCACTGGGATGTATCTGATGCTTTTCTCATGATTAGATTGGGGTTAAGAGCTTTTGAGAGGAAGATGACAAAGACGCCATTTTCATCATATACCAGAGAAAAAACTACCCACATAAATTATCACTGTTGATGCTGACCTTGATCATCTTGCTGAGGTAGTACTGTCATATTTCTCTAGTGTAAAGTTACTTTTTTCTCCCTTTCCATTCTGTTCTCTTTGGAAGGGAGTCACTCACTGTGTAGTCAACACTTAAGGAGTGAGGTGTTATGCCCCACCTCCTTGAGAACAGAACATGCCCACAACTAACTCAGAATTCTTTTGCTATTTGTCTATTCTTCCTCACTTGTTTACTCATTCAATCATTCTTTTATATCAGCTTGGACTAATGGCTATTTATTTCACATTCTGGAATGTCATTTGAAACTACTTGATATATTTTGTTGCTCGGCTTTGGCCATGAGGAGCTCTTTCAGACAGACCCTTGTCCCCCTGGCATACCCTAAATCACTCTGGGTTGCTACTCCTGCTGTCTGAGGATTTCATTACTTTCTGGCATTACAAGATGCTCCCGACTCATCTTGTATATTTCCTGCTGCTATCCTGGACATTTCTCCAAGAAGGACTAGTTCTCTTTATCAGAGAATGGTATCAGAAACTAAGATCTGGATGCTAGGTGTGCTTACTTCTAAGACCCTCTCAGTTGAAAAGCCAAGATATAGTATGTGTGTATATATATAAATATACATGAATATATATGAATTCATATATATTATTTATAGTGTGTGTGTATATATATAAATATAAATATATATACACACACACTAACATATTAGTGTATATATACACACACTAACCCTTGGGAACACACATATCTGTAATTATTTCCATATGCAATCATCCATATCTATATTAAGCTATTTTATTTTGATACTCATAAGTTTTATTCTCAGCTGGGATAGAGTGCAGGTGGGTAAGAGGAAAGCCACTAATGGAAATTAAAAGGAAAGATACCAATTTAAAGATTTTCTTCTATTTCTGTCTAATCTCCTGTTAAAAAAGAAATTTATTGAGAGCTAATATAATAAATTTATGTTTTAAATGTACTTGAAAACTTTGCATACAATAAGTGACGTGTGAACATCAAATTCAAAAAAAGTTGTTCTCTTTCTCACTTGAGACACAGATTTACCTAGGAACTTCCAGTTATTTTATTTAATTTTCTAACCTGTAAAATGAGAATAAAGAGCTTCTCATCCCAGCCTGAGAATTTATAGTGGGTATAACTGATAGTGTTCTGCCACTCAGGGACAAATATGTAGAAATTATTTTAGTTTTAATAAAGGTAGACCCTGTCCCTCAGAGGAATAAGCTCTAGCTAATCATGTTTTTCATGCAACTGTAAAATTTTATATTTTCACACAATTATATTCATAAAGTATTGTGATCCTGATAATTACTATTCATTTCTATCACTAAGAAGTTATTTCTGTCTAGCAACCTGGCATTCCTTACTCATTTTAAAGTCCTTAGCATATCCAAACAGTAACCAGTAGATCCTGAGGTTTATTCTGCAGTGCATGGGAGAGTTGAGAGAGACCTGGTGCTCATTCACAAGAGATTATCTTGACTATAAATAAAATTCCCATTAGCTGGGCATGGTGGCACGTGCCTGTAATCCCAGCTACTTGGGAGGCTGAGGCAGGAGAATTGCCTGAACCCAGGAGGCGCAGGTTGCGGTGAGCCGAGATTGTGCCATTGCACTCCAGCCTGGGTAACAAGAGCGAAACTCCGTCTCAAAAAAAAAAAGTCATGTGTAAGCTTGAGTTATAAACCTGTCATGTTTCATGAAAAAAAAAAAAAAAAAAAAATTCCCCACCCCAGAAAACAAGAAAAAAGAGAAAATATCTTTCTAGGAATTGTTTTTGAAAATAATTTTTCTCATCCTCAGAAGACTGCACAAGTGGCATTAATATACTAACATATAATCCCAAATTTCCAAGCATACAGTTTAAACATCTGCTATGATCATATAGTTTACTGAACTACTGGAAAATGAGATAGCAAGAGTAAATTTACCCTTTGAAGGAGCAAAATGTGCCCAGGACCTCTTTAGTTTCTTTACAGAAACAGTCATTTATCTATGAGTCATTCCTGCTCAACATTTTTACATGTCATTTAATTCACCAGTTTAATCTCTCCCTTTGCAGTGAGCACTCAGGAGAAAGTCATGCTTGAGGCCATAAATATTTCTTCCAAATACTTTCAATAGTTCCTTCTTCCTCATTATTCTAGCTGAAAAATGAAATATCTAGGAGTATAAAAACTACAATTTCCTAGTTAAATATTCAGAGATATTATATTGTTAAATCGTATTGAAATTCCCATCTTTAATCATTTCGAACAAGTGTGAAGATACAATAAGAACACTTGTTTCATACTTTTCGGAGTCTCAAAAAAAATCTAATAAGTTAATCTATAAATATATCACTATGCTTTTGTACTGATGTAAGTTTGTACCCACCCCGCAATTTCCCGATGGCTGCCTCAGACTCTAGCAAAAATAAGACACGAAGCGAACTCATTCTGAGCAGGATGGGAGACCAGAACAGGAGGTAAGATTAGAGGCAAGAAATAGATAATTAGAGCTCAAAGTCAAAGTGAAGCTTTAAAAATATTTCTCTACAAGGTGTTTTGGGGATGAATTGAGGGAGATATGTAAGCAATTGCCAAAGACCACTGCTTCAATTAAGGAAATTCAATGCTATAAAAGAAGGCTCTGAAACCCAGCTAACAGAGGTCAATGTTCATCCAAGCTCTGCAATAATTATCATATTGATTCGCAGTACTTTAGCACAAATAGGTAATATACAGAGGAGTCAATAAAGTTTGATTTTTAAATTCTCAAATTTAAAAAAACACGAACAACTGTTGAAAGAAGGGCAATAAGAAAAAGACCAGATGGCTGCCTAAATACATCCTCCAGAAAACGATGCCTCATCAATTCCTTCTCCTCGAACTGAAAGCCAGGGGTCTTTCTGGTACCAAATACTAAGAATCACGGCCAACAAAGCCAGTGGGTGGTCTCAGAGGATTGTCAGGCTCCTCAGAAACAGGTCTTTTATATGCCTGAGGGGGTTACACTACATGACAACTGACAAATCCAGGGAGGCACAGCTGCCAATAGACAGGTACAGTCAGAAAGTCACAAAGCAGAGCTGGCTTTATTTGAAAGCATTTTGCCAGGCTTCACACCGACCCAACTTCACGGCAGTCTAGTCTCTCAAGGGACTACGAAGGAACGTTAAGCAAGTATTCACTTGGAGACACATCACTCCCAGCTACAGCCCTCCAAGTCACTAGCAGAGATCTCAATGGAGACTGAGGCTCAGGATTTCATCATTAAGCTTGCCTTTCAATCTCTTAACTCAGAAATACAAGGGCTTAATAATCTTTATATCCTGACTTAAGGGAGCTAATACTATTATGGGTTTAGCATGCCTGGGAATTTACCTGCTTCACTGTAGGTCTAAGGATTTGAGGCTACTTGGGTAATGTCACAGAATACACAGGAGCATCTCTGAAAAACTGGTCTCATGTTTGAAAGCATCCCTGCAGAGTACAAGATTAACAGGCACGGGGCTGCGAAGCGCTCGGATAACCTACCTGTCACTCTGGTCTGAGGTCCATGTAACTGATCGCCCTTCAGGTTTAGTTTTGTACCATATTCTGATAGCATGAGGAAAGTCAGTAGCTGTCTGAGCCCCTGTCTTTCTGATCTGTAAGCTCCAACTGTCAGTGTCAAAGAGGAGTTCTCCACAGCCAGGAGCCTGGCTGCAGCAAGCATAATAGTCTAACTGCTCCCTCCAACAATCTGCAGGCAAAGTCACAAGTTCATATACAATCTGATTCCTGAGCTCCTCAGAAACAACTGTGAGCTTGGGAGACCTTGTAAATTTTTCCATACCTGGCACAGCAGCAACATCCACCTCCTCGACTTTTAACACAGATAAATCACAGCAGTCCAACACTAGCAAAAAATCCTCACTCCCATGATTCCCTGTGTCACAGCAGTACTTTGAGCTAGAAATCCCAGAAGCATGTTCCTGGTTGTCATGGTTACCATCTTTATCAGAAGTATCTTTTTCACCTTTACTACAGATTGCAAAATCATTATATTCCATTTCAGATGAGAAGGTCCTTGCATTTGCCACAGAAATACGGCAGAGTTCAGGCATCCCAAATTTGCAGGCTTTGTTTGACTCTGATTGGCAGGCTTCCTCGATGGAGCTATTCTGTTTCTTGAATCTGTTTCCATCCTCGAGGAAAAGCACTATGGTCCCCTCAATGACTTGACTTTCAAAATCCACATCCAAATCCAGTACATAGTGCTTCACAAGTATGTGGCTGGTGTTGGCCATGAGAGGCAGGTCATCTCTGGCAGGGTCCAGCTGTATGTCCATGATGTGGTTTATTGTTTGAGAGACTGGTTAAAATCTCAAATGGGGGGTTTCCTAACTGCCTTAATCTTCCAGAATCATAAATAGCTGCTTATCAAAAAAACAACTGATGTCACAGATTATGGTTCCACAACTTTCAGTCTCCTGGCAAAGAAGGAAAGCACAATTAGACAAAATTCCAAGTAAGACCTAAATGCTCCTGCAACTGCTGCTCCTGCAAGTTGACCACCATCCTTAAATAATCCCCCAAGTGGTAGATGGCCAGGGCTAGAAGGCTCATTAATTTTTTTTTTATTGACATGAAAGAAATCTGCATTATGGGTTTCTAAAAATATTTCAATTACCAACTGAATGGCAAGGGCCTCCACAAAGCCAGAAGACGCATGCTCCAATGAGAACTGTCCTTCTTTTAGAAAAGAGCAATTGTTATGCAAAAGTGTAACCAAGCATTGCCGTGCCTCTAGTCTTAAAAGATATTAAATGTATCCCTTCTAATTTTGTGCATCAAAAGATAAGTGATTGTTTTTCCACTGTGATTCCAAGTAACAAGTGTGAATGAAGGCTAAATGGCCCCATACATTTTATTCTTTGAGAGTAATAATTTAATACATAACAATGTAACTCCAGGGATTAATGTACTTTTCACATTAGAACTGCTCTCATATCAGCACTTCCAGTAAATTACAGGAAAATGAGCCAATTTACCAGGAGTGCATTCTAAGTATTCCTTTGAGATTGTTCACGGAGATTTTTCAAATTTATAGTTAAATACTCAAGGTATATCATTACATCTTAATAGCAGAAAACCCATTAACATTCTGGATAATAGCCTTCTGTGGCAAACAAAAGGTCTTCTCACTTGCGAAAAAAAAGCGTGCAAATACCTATAAAAGGAAGGAGAGAAATTAAAATGTAGAAACAGATGTTACAATAAAATGCACAAGTTCTTCATAAAAGTTCTGAATCAAAATGTATTCTTATTGTATACTCGCAATTTGGCTAAAAATTATTTGAAATTATTTCAGTCCATGTTGTGTACCTAATTTCTTGCAGCATATGCTGTTCTTTTTTATTCTTTTACCAAAACCAAAAAAGAAATGGCAGGAAAACAGAAAGAAAAGCTCCAACAGAATAGATATACTTAAAATCATTTTTTAATTTCTAAATATCAGGAGGCAATCTTTTAACAACTACAAAACATCATTTACCTGAATTTTCAAGTAAATCAAGCCCTTCCTTTGTATCCAAACTCCTCCTCACTTCCCTGCCAGCTTTATCTGCATCTCTACTAGACCCTTCTATTTCCTTTCCTTCTAGAATCTCATTCTAGGTTAATATCTCATTGATTTTCAGTTTCTACCTCTCCACAGACTAGTTCCTCTTCAATATCTCACCTAACCTGAAAAAAATCCCACCTCCTGCAGCTTGTACAATCCAGTTTCTAGCTACTTTTCCAGTAATGGAGACAACACCCCCTTGCATGCTCATCCTCTAGCCAGAGGGCCTACTCAAAACACTGCTTCCTGAAGAGAACTTTGCTCTAGGCCTCTGTGCCTTCTGGACTAACCCATGTGCTGGACCTGGAGTGCAACTGGCTCCTACCTCCCACCTCCAACTGCCAAATCCTATTCTTTCTCCAAGTCCCAGTTTAAGTGCAACCACCTCCTGAAACCCTTCCCTGGTCCATGCTTCCCCCCTCCCCCCACTGAAATATATGTGGTACACTTTCAGCACAATAGGAGTAGAGAGAAATCAAAGATGCAAAGAATAGTTTGAATTTACTTTATGGAGAAGCTGGTATTTCCCTTGGTCCTAGAAAAGTCAATGGCACAGGGGATAAACCAGAGTATTTTCTGTCCTGTCATTTTAAAAAATAACCTTCGATAAAGCTGTTGGCTATTTCTATGTAATGACAAACAGTGATGTTAAAACTTCATTCTGAGGATGGCTGTGGCTGCTAACATACTGTATTTTGTTGATTGGGCATTTTTTAAAAAAATTAATTAAAAAAAAAAACCCTGAACACACACACACACAGAAGAAAAACCTGCATCAACTAAGACAAGGGTCAATTTAGTGGCTGGCTAACCGATCACATTTGGAGAAAAAGATTAGCATTTTTAACATTATAGATATAATTATTTATTGTCCAACTCTAATGGATTCCTAAATTTACTTCTAAAAATCTGTATAATTTAAGCATAGAATACATTCTATAGAGCAGTTCTCACTACTTTTGTTCCCGGTGGGAGAGAATGAGGCTGCCCTAGGGCCCTATCCACTCAAGCCTGTTAGCAGAACTAGTCATGAAAAGCCAGGGCTGCCTTTCCAGTGGCTAACCACTGCTGCCTCTAAAATCAGTGTACGACATGGTATGTGTTTTAAGTGCCGAAATGTTTGTCACCTGACTGACAATCCACTGGTTTTCTTTAGTGGATTCTTTTGCATACTCTCCATAGGGGCAATTCTAAAACTTTTCTTTTAATTTTCCAACTTCATGCTTGCTAACTCATTCTCAGCTGATGATTTGACCCCCTGCTTTGCTGAGATAATTTTGAATCTCTGTTCAGTCATACCTCAAAGTATCTCTAGCTCTTCATAAGTATTACCTTCTCTTAATTCCGAGGGAACAATATCCCTTCTCACTAAAGCTTATTAAGCTTATTCCACCCCACTGAATCCCAACTTTTGGGGTTTTTAGAGAGCCAAATACATAGCACATTTCTCTCTCATCCAGATTCTGAATGTAGCGAGACAAGATGAAGATACGGCAAGGGCAGACCAAAATATCACCATTATTTCTGATGAAGACTGAACTGGAGAACATGGCTTACTGTGAGAGCCAAAGCTACCTGGAAACTGAATCCCAAATTTAGGTTTATCCACATTGTCACAGGCAATGCTGGATCAATATAAGCTTCCAGAAGGGGAGGTGGCTTCAGGTAAGACTTAAGGCCTAGAGGAAGAGAAAAGAATGGCTCTCTGTGGTCAGGATTGCTGCCCAAAAGCAAAAGGGAGATGAGCAGAGCACATTCAGTTTCTTCTTCCCAGATTTATCAGACTAAGTCACTCCACCTCCCTTAGGATAAAAGCAGGGAGACCAGGAGTGTTACACTGACTGAACTTCCCCAACAGGGAAGGAAACATCAGAAGTGGGAAAGAAGTGTTCTCTCAACACCATCCCCCTCCACTTACTTGAATCCTCTTCCATTTGATACTTTTCTCTTGACATGTTCTCCCCCTCAATGATTACACCCTATTCTGAACATTCAAACACCCCTAGGGTTGTGGGTTCAAGCTGCCTTCTCTCTCAGTCTCCCAAGTAGATGGAACCACAGGTGCATGCCACAACACTCATCTAACTTCTTAAATTTTTGTAGAGACGAGGTCTCACCATGTGGCCCAGGCTGGTCTGGAACTCCTCAGTTCAGGCAATCTGCCCACCTCAGTCTCCCAAAGTGCTGGGATTACAGGTGTGGGCCACTGCACCCGGCCTTAGGGTTGCCATCTTTAAAAACAACCAACTTCATTTGGCCTACTTTAAATCATCTTTATTTTTTTGAACTTTGGAACTGAAGAATTCCTTAGGGCTCATCAATCCAACTCTCTAATTTTACAAATGAAGACAGAGTCCCAGAGAGGCAAAGCAATTTGCTCAAGGTTACCCATTTCTTTTTGTTTGCCACAAACAGAACATTTTCCACCTGCTGATGGTTTTCCTTGGAATTCTCATCCCCCAGGTCTCAAGGCCATCTCCTTCATATTGTGTAAGTCATAAATCAAATATCACCTCTAAGTCTCTCTTCCATAGCTTCCTTCGACCTTCTTTATCTTCTTCAAGTTATGCAGATTAGTAACCAATTCTTACTGTAATAGCTTTAGGGGGCAAAGGAGAACTTTTAAGCCAGCCCCAGAAGATTCTGAAGAATACTGTAACTTTTGCATGGTTTCCAACCTAAATTATGTATACGTCTATTAAGTTGTTGCTTATTTGACTATGTCCTAGTTGTCTTAGATTCATGGATGACCTAAATCATCTTTCTCTCTGTAAGTACATAACGCTCACTAACGTCAATCAGGGTCACAGCCCCACATTTAGGGAAAACCTGAACTGCCTGTGGTTGCAAATCCAAGTATGTGGTCACCTTGCAAGGCCTCTCTCAGCAAATGGAAATCATATTTCTAAGCAGTCCGTTGACTTCAGCACTTTTGGCTATTATTATGCTCCAATTCAAAATGCCACCCTGTCTCACTGAAGCATTTTTCCGTTCTCTGTCATAAGCCATAACATATAAAAGTTCCCCCTTATAAAAACCGATCATTTTCCAGTGGCTAACCGTTGCTGCCTCTAAAATAAGTGTGTTTCAAAAAAAAAGTAAAATAAGTGTGCTATGCAGTATGTATTTTAAATGCTCAAATGATTGTCTCAGCAGCACCATTAAAGGCTTTGAAAGGATTAGCATACAGTAATATTTTTCTTAAGGGGGAAGAAGATCACATACTAAACAGAGCTATGGCACAAAGAAGAAATTGCTCTGCCATTCTCAGCCAACCGAAGTGCTCTGCCATTCTCAGCCAACCGAAGTGGAATGCACCCATTTACAAATGTGAGATATAGCCTCTGTAATGCCGTCCCCAATCCCTCCAACAAAAATAATTTCATTCTCCTTTCAAGCTACAAAGCAATGTGTATCCTCAAGGCTCTTAGCTTATCCTGGCTTCTTTTACAGTTACCTCCATCCTCCAATGCTCTAAAAATTCTTTGCAACTCCTGAATTATTTTTGTGTTAATGACCAGCTTAAGTGGAGTACGCTGAACACAACAGGTTCTCAATAAACATTTGTAGAACTGCTGTCTAAAGGCATTTGTGATTTCAACCTCTAGTTACTTATACAACAGGGATTCTAGCTTGCCTGTGTTCTATAGTCTAGTGCCAAGTTACTGCTTAACAAACATCTCCCTCCAGATGTCTCATTTATTTCTTCTCAGGATACACCTGTGCCTCTTTTTATGCCACATCATTTTACTTGTAACCAACTGTGGGGGGAAAGGACAAATTTGTTTGCATATATGCTTATTCTACAACATAGAGCACACTGTGAGTAGTTACTAAATATTTAATTTCACCAATTACTTGATCAGA